GTACCAGGGCTTCTGGTTGGGGAACCTTCTGACTTGTATGGTGGGCATAATGTTGTCAATACTAATGTACCCGGTCACATACTCAGCATAGTCCTGAGATCTTGTTTCTAATCATTTGTGCCACAGCAAAGGCACTGACAGTTTTGTACATGAGAGACTGCAGATTTATTAAAGATGAAAATCTGAAAACAAATGTTTTTCCATTATCATGATGGGTTACCTAGTTTGAAGTGAGGGTCAAGATTAGCAACTGCACTCTGTTAAATCTACAATACATAAAGCTGACATTATGGGCCTATAGGTAAAAATGGCAATTATATCCCTCTTATAAATAGATCACAATAATTGCAGTATAAAAAAAATTCATATTAAAATTATTTCTGGTTTTATTTACTGCTTGACAAGACAAGGCTCACCAATCCCGTCTCGAAAAGGCAGTGTGTAAGAGGTTATTGATAATTCATGGAATTATTGACTTAAACTTTATTTAAAAAATTAAGAAATCTAACTAAAAGCATCCATGCAGATTGAGTCATCCCAAAAGACCATCGGAGAATAATCCTACATCATAGACAATCTGCATTGCAAATCACACACCTGTGTAGATGAAAGACTTCGTGGGGTTTACTTCAGAAAGTTTCTATTTGTGAGAAATGCTGTTAGGCTGGGTCTGACGTAGGCCTACGTTCACAGCAGGCAGGCATCTGTCATGGACCTGACAGTGAAGGAGGTTAGGTCTATAGGCCTGTCTGTGATTATCATCCGTTAATAGACTGATGTTCTTTCACTCATTGGGGGTAGTATTGTATTGAGACTACATCTTGTGCTGCCCCTTATTGTCCAATAGAAAGCAAATGCAACCTACTGGTCATCATTTCCAATGGTGGAATTGTCAAGATGGTGCCAGTGTGCACGGCCTGCCATTTACCACTTCCAATCCTGTGTGTTTTTGTGCTGTTTTGTTCTTTTTTTTTTTTTTTTTTCTGGAATGGAGACTCTCTATTGTTGTACAATCGCCAAACTCTGCTGAATCTTCGCCTGGGTGTTTCAAACCTAGTGCAGTTTGATTGTCACAGGCACAAATCTCTACCTCCGTTTCTATCAGGAATACCTTCTTACCTTCGCCGCGTTCCAGCTTTCCCATTCAGAAGGAGGAGGCAGAGACGTCGTGGCAGGCGGGGTGGACAGCTGGTAAGGCTAAAGGCCTCCTTGGTGGGCCCTTCCTTGGCCTCTCTGGTTCGGCGTGCTCCAGGCCGGCCTCCACGCTTTTTCCAGCTTTGAGATGTCCTTATTCGAGCTGGGTCACTCTCCGGCCTTATTGTGGGCTGTGAATTATCGCCCACCCAAGTTCAATAAGGATTTTATAGGTGACTTTTCTGATTTTTTTTTTTTTTTTGTTGTTGTTCATTTTATGCCTAGATATGACCGGGTTTTAATTATTGGCAATTTTAATATACATGTCTGCTGTCCTGACAAACCTTTAGTTAAGGCTTTTTTTAGATGTTATTGACTCTTTTAATCTTACACAATTTGTGGCTGGTCCTACCCATGAGCATGGGCACACCTTGGACCTTGTCTTATCCTATGGTGTGCCAGTTCGTGAAATAGAAATCTGTGACGCTTTTGTTTTCTGATCATTTGCCTGTGTTATTTGTGATTGACTTTATTTGTGATACAACCGCACCTTGCGCTACTCCGCGGCTTTGCCGTATGTTTAATTCTTCCACTTCTGCTCAATTTTCTGCCTTCTTTAGTGAGAATCTTACAATTTCCAACTGCAGACAGAGGATCTTGCATTAGATTTTCACTCTACCTGTCAGGCTGCCATTGATGCGGTGGCACCACTGAGGATTAGGCAGCCTAGGGCTAAGCTCGAGCCCTGGCTAAATGAAGAGTTTTGCGTTGCCAGGCGTGAGTGTCGCAGGGCTGAGCGCAGGTGGAGAAAGGACAAATTACAAGTATCATTTCAGATACTAAGAGACTCTTGGCACAGCTATCAAAAAACTGAAAAATCTTAAGAGACATTATTTCTCTAATATCATTCAGTCAGATTGTCATAAGCCTCGTGTTTTGTTTAAAGTTATTGATTCAGTTTTGAATGTCCCTCGGGCTGCCTGTTTTGAGTCTTCCCCCGCCCTCTGTCAGCAATTTTTTATACTTTTTTAAGGACAAGGTTCTCTCTACCAGAGCTCAGATTTTACCTCCTGTTTATGATTTTTCTGCCTCTCCTCCCTGCTCTGCTGTTTTTGATCAGTTTGATTGTGTGTCTTTATTCCATTGTCAGGAGATTGTTGGGCGATTGAATCCCTCTGGCTCTCCAAGTGATGCTATTCCTCCTCAATTTTTAAAGGAGGTTTTTCCTGTTGTGGGGCCTTTAGTCCTTTCTATTATTAATAGTAGTTTATACTCTGGGCTGGTTCCTAGGAATTTTAAACATGCCATGGTGTAGCCACTGATTAAGAAACCTGGTCTGGATCCCGCAGTGCTCTCAAATTTTAGGCCCATTTCAAATTTACCATTCTGTTTTAAAATCCTCGAAAAGATAGTTTACACTCAGTTACTGGCCTTTTTAAACGAGCATAATATTCTTGAGATTTTTCAATCAGGGTTTAAAACCCTGCACAGTACTGAGTCAGCTTTGGTGAAAGTTTTAAATGATATTTTTCTTGCAACCGATTTAGGGAATTGCGTTGTCCTAGTGCTCCTAGACTTGACTGCCGCTTTTGATACAGTGGATCACAATATCCTTATTTCACGTTTAGAGCACTGGGTGGGTATTCGAGGTATAGCCCTAGAATGGCAGCTATGCCTTCTTCAGTGTGCAGATGTCTTTCTACTGTCTAATGGAGTCCCTCACTTTTTAACTACATAGCTCATTACTGACAGATATGCCAAATGCTTACTTGAAATGAAAGGCGTCAAATATCACCAAAATCAGGAGCATCCTGTCTCAAAGTGATGCTGAAAAACTGGTCCATGCATTTGTTACTTCCAAGCTGGGCTACTGTAACTCTTTATTATCAGGATGTCCCAACAGTTCCCTAAAAATGAATGGTTTAGGCCTTACCTTAAGTATAGATCCTTTTGTATGGGGTTCTGCAAGGCTCAGTTCTTGGACCCCTTCTTTTTTCCCTTTATCTTCTCCCACTCAGTTCTATACTTAGGAAGCACGGCATCTCCTTTCATTTTTATGCAGATGATAGCCAGCTTTATTTACCGGTTAAAAAGGTGAATTCTTGTGTTAGGACACTGCTTGAATGTTTCGATGACATTAAATCTTGGCTTGCTTTTAATTTTTTGAAGCTGAATGAGGAGAAGACTGAGGTGATAGTGTTTGGTGATTCTGCCGGGTCACCCTCTATTGACTTGGGCTTTTTGGCTCAATACAATAAGAAAAATATTTTAAATCTGGGTGTTAATATTGACCAGAAATTTGACGGCCAAATTGCAGCTGTCGTTAAATTTAGTTTGTTTTTTTTTCAATCAAGACAGTTGGCCAAAGCAAAATCAATGGTCTCTAGGCGGCACTTTGAGACAATTGTTCATGCTTTTATCACCTCCCGACTGGATTACTGCAACACATTGTATCTGGGGATTGGTGAGTCTTCCATCACTCGCCTCCAGATGGTCCAAAATGCTGCAACACGTCTTTTAACAGGTACAAGAAAATATGAGCACATCTCTCCAGTTTTAGCTTCCCTGCACTGGCTACCTGTTTATTTTAGGGTCCATTATAAAATTATACTTTTTGTTTTTAAATCCCTTCATGGCTCTGCACCACCCTACTTATCCGATTTGCTTCACTGGCGTACACCCAAGCCAATCCGCTTCTTTTGAGCGTGCCTAGAACTAAGCATAAACTTAGAGGCGACCGGGCCTTTGCAGTCGCTGGTCCCAAAATTTGGAATGATTTACTGCTGCCCATCAGACAAGCTTCTTCTCTGTCTGTTTTTAAGTGTCTTTTAAAAATTCATTTATTTTCGTTGGTGTTTTGATACTTTATATTGGTTTTGATTTTATTTATTTATATTGATTCATATTTTTATATTGGTGTTGATTTTGTTTGTGCTTGTGGGTTGTGCTTTTAATATATATTGTTTATTGCAATGTACAGCACTTTGGTCCACCTTAGTTGTTTTAATGCTTTATAAATAAAGTTGGTATGTTATGGTATCATCCTCACTTTCATCAGAGGTGGAGGAGGTCACAAAGGCAGCAGATTCGCACTGAAGGGAGTTATAGAAGTTATACATCAAAACTTAAAAGCTTAAAGCTAATTTTTGATGGACTATTACACATAGTCCAGGCCTTTTGTTATTGCTGCTGAACTGACGATTAATATCGGCCATAAACACGAATTCCCACGGAAATTTTTTTGTTTTCTGGTTTTGGTTTTCATATTTGATTTCTTGCTTGATTGTGAAAACAAAAGAAATATTCAGTGGTTTTCCTTTTTCCACATTTAGGAAAAGTGAAACTGAACCGTTTTCAGGTTAAATGGTATCGAATAATACATGGACCAATATGACTCAGAATGAGTTAGACTCTTGCTCAGATTTCTGTTTTTCTATGATGCAGCTTCTGTGTGAGAGCAGAAAAACAGAACAAGACTTGTCTTTCTGGTTTTGGTTTTCATAATTGGTTTCCCGCTTTCTCATTTGTAAATTATAAAGCTTTTCATTCCAAACCTCAGAGGAATTTGCTCATTTTTTCAGTAATCATCACATTTTCCAGTTCATGGGTCAATTTGAAAATGAGTGAATGAACCAACTCCTCTACAGACACTTACTTATAAAGTGGACTAGAGAATTCAAATGAAACCTGGTGAATAAGAAGCATCACTCATTTTTTCTCTTATCACATCAGTGACCTGTTCCTTCCTTTGTCCCTCCAGAGCTGCCACAGCAACACGTCTGTCAGGAGGAGGAGGTTCTGGCTGACCAGCAGCTCTGGTCTGGAACCAGGAGAGGAACTCCAGTCTGGACCAAGAGGACCCAGAGCCTCCACAGATTAAAGAGGAACAGGAGGAACTCTGCAGCAGTCAGGAGGGAGAGCAGCTTGGACTGAAGCAGGAGCCCGGTCCCTTTATGTTGACTCCTACTTATGAGGAAAGGGACCACAGTGAAGCAGAACCATCCAGTGACCAGCAGCTCCTCTGTCACAGCTCCACTGTAGCTGAGAGCCAGGATCAGGAAGGAAGCCAGCATGGAGACTCTGGATCAGCTAGTAATGCAGAGCCAAAGCCAAAGAGGAGATGTCACAAAGACACAAGTCACAGTAGCAGTGTGGGCACCTCTCCCCTGTTACAGACTCACTCTGATCCTCCCACAGATAGAAAGTCTTTAAAGTGTGACACTTGTGGGGAAACGTTTAGGTACAATTCCTGTTTTAATAGACATCTTAGAAGCCACAAAGAGGAGAATCAGTATTGTTGTGAAACGTGTAAGAAAATTTTCAGATACAACAGTGTCTTTTTGATCCACATGAGAACCCACACAGGTGAGAAGCCATATGTTTGCAAGACGTGTGGGAAAGCATTCAAGCAGTCATCACATTTGGATGGTCATTTGAGAATCCACACAGGGGAGAGGCCGTATGTTTGCAAGACATGTGGGAAAAGATTCAGTCAGTCATCATCTTTGAATGTTCATTTAAAGATCCACACAGGTGACAGGCCGTATTGTTGTCAAACCTGTGGAAAAAGTTTCACACGAAGTACTGACCTTGTGGTCCATATGAGAGGTCACACAGGTGAGAGGCCGTATGTTTGTAACCCCTGTGGGAAAGGCTTTCGGCAGTCCTCAGACTTGAAAGTTCATTTAAGAACCCACAAAGGTGAGAAGCCATAGTACTGCAGCACCTGTGAGAAAAGCTTCTGTATGATCTCAGATGTGAAAAGACAGGAATTCATATATAGAGTAGAGCTGTCCTATATTGGTTGAGTTGTTAGCCCATAGACCTGTCTGTCGACTCAAGACTTTTCCAGTCGAGCCTTTGTTTATTTATTTTTTGCCAGCCAGTGCGCTTTACAGTAGAAGATGGCCCCAGCCAGTTCCTTGTCATCTTCTGCTCCTTTTAGCGTGTGAAGCAGCAGTTTGCTCAATACTTCCCCATATGGTCAGGGGAGTACCCACTTCAACAGTGATACATGGATGTATTAAGGTCAAACCACATTATTTAGCAAACTGAACCAGGAGAAAAGGACAACAAATCCCACTGGGAGAAGCCACATATAGGTGAGATTTGTACTTTATTAGAAGTGTTTTCAAACATCATGGTCTACTTTTATGAGAAATGACTGTCGCGACCATGTGGCTGGTTTTGCATAGTTTAATGTTATGTGAGTCCGGTTTGTTTATCCACCTCTGTTAAAGTGCCAAGACTGTTTCATGCATCCATCTAAACTGGATTAGGTAGCTCACAAAAATGTGTGGGGAAAACATTTCACTGTAGAACTATAAATGAGAGGAATCGCTCACAGTGCAAGGTGGCACACGTCAAACGCACAGTAACAACATGCGCTGTGGTTAACTGACCGGAGAACGTTAAAATGATTGGTAAACTAGGCTGTTGAAATGTTATGAAATACTATGTTCTTGTTGCAGTTATGAATTAAGGGTTTTTTTGTCTGAAAGTTTGACTTTAATGTGAAGTGTGATCAAAAATGTGAAGTTTGTTGCAAGACTTAAGACTTAAAACTGTCAAACTGAAATGTCATTTTGCCTCAGCTTTTGAAGTCCTTTGCATACGTGTTTCATTTTTACCAATTTCCCTGGACAGCCAGTAGCTGGTATCATGTTTTGAGGAAAATTGGCTGCTGTTGTCACACCATGGGTGAACGCATGGAGCAGCTAAAAAGCACACACAGTGAACATAGGAACACACATCAGAATACAATTGTACTCAGTTATCCAGTAGGAATATGTTGCTGTATGAGGAGTTTATCCTATTGTCGTGTATAGAATTAATTCACAGGGAGAATCACTGCAGTGCCAATCATCATTTATTGAACAATATATTGTGATAATGAATTCAGAGGGCGAGACACAGGACCACCTTGATTTTTGGATCTCTGCAGAGTTTGGAGTCTTTGTCTTCTGAAGTCCTCACATGCACCCACACACTCTCCAAGTCTAAGTCTGTCTTATCAGCTTTTCAACTGATAGCTATCTATTTCCCAACTTCTTGGAATTTATCAGTCTTGACGTCCATCGGGCCCCTACCCTTTTCACTCCTCTATTTCTGGGAACCCCCTAGCCTGTACTGAAAAACAGGAAGCCTGACCCAATGTTCCTGAAAAGACCCTCAGAAAAGAACAGACCATACTTGGGATTTAACTTAATTAACTAACTAATAAGTATTAACTATATTAAGTTTGCTTTTACCACTACAGAATCCCCTCCTCCCGTAGTTATAAGAACTATGGAATTCCTAGACACACTAAAGCAAACACATACAGAAGAATGACAAGAAAACAACAAGGATGTTCATAAACACACATAAATGCCTGTATACAACACTTCCTAATACTAAGCAGTAAGCAGTTATCAAAGGGCTAAACAGTTCAGTCTAACATGGCAAGTCTACACTAAATCAAGGCCCTAATTACCATAACTGTCTACTGTAATGCTAATAAAACACATTCCACACTAAACCTAAACAATCACAGAACAGGAAAAACAACCACCCAGGTGATCCTCTGTCTCCCCCCATATAATAGTACAATTTTAACAATACACATGTCTGTACTGTAACACAAACAGCTTCAATGCAAACACTTAATAGTTCAACACAGATCTTTCTTTGTGAACATAACAGGCAGACGCGGGCGAAAAACCTCAACAAACGATAGTTTCATGGCATTGGCGTCTTTTGAATCTTTCTTTAGATGCTCTGGTAGAGGAAAATTCTCGCGTGACCCCCCCGGCACCGTAGCTTGATGCCGTTAGTGGGCGATCGCCAGCAAGGGCCTGCACTGGATCTGAGAGCAAACAGAAAACAGACATAGTGAAATTCAAAATATAACACATGAATCACAAACATGATTACTATACTTAAACTAAGGTATAAATATCCTGTAATATAATGATTAAGATACTCAGTAATGAAAATACTCTGTAATAAGAATGGTTAGATAATAAATGTGTAAAAATGATTATCTGCAATTGATGTAATTGATTGTATGTGATTGGAATATATGAAGATGTGGTATGATGTCATCCATTGTCCGTCGTCAGCTCATCCTCCTCACTCGGCGGCCACCTGGTAGAGCTCTTCTCCA